TATACTATACTATATAGTACTATCGGAAAAAAGATCCCTGTCAGCCCAAGAGCGTACTAGCTACAGTAAACGCCAACGGCCTAGATTCAATCTGGGGCTTGATTTGACCATCCCGAATATCCGGCAGTATATGGAAAAAGATCCTGTCAGCCCAAGAGCGTACTGCTACAGTAAACGCCAACGGCCTAGATTCAATCTGGGCTGATTTGACGATCCCAAATATCCGGCAGTGTTTGAATTTTAATTTTTTTTCTACTAATCGGATTGATCTGAAATTTGGAGTGTGTGTACATAAAAAATAGGTGAATCTTCGAAAACTATAAAAAAAATATTTTACATGAAAAACATTGACCAAAATACCCCTGTAAAGCTTCAGGGGTATTTTGGTCAATTTATTTTTTACGGATATTTTTTTTAATTTTTTTATTAGGTGCGTCTTGATGAGAAGAATATATACCTAAAATTTCAAGTGATTTGGATTTATAGAAAAAAAATTATATGAAAGAGGTCGTGACCGTCAGATCGGCCTAGATTCAATCTAGGCCATTGGCGTTTACTGTAGCGGTCAGCTAGTGGGTGTACATAATCCACTTCCTATATATATATATATATATATATATATTATTTTTGCCTTCTTCACAGACCCATGATATTTGTTTTTTTGGTGCAGGCTGGATACAGGCATATTGATTGTGCTCGAGCATACGATAATGAGGCAGAGGTAGATGTGGCATCCTAATATCATCACTTTCATCATCATCATTTTGATGATCATCTTCCTCCTCCTTCTTCTTCCTGTTTGGAGGTTATGATGCAAATAACTTGTTCAAATAATTGTTACAAATGAAATGGCCTTTTCACCAATTGTTACAATGAATTTCAAAAGGATCTGAAGTAAGTATAGCTTTTGAAATAGTAATTTTTCACAAATGCATGTAGATGTATTGTAGGGAAACCAATCACTTCTTCTTCATCTATAAGTAGTTAGTGAAGCTATAACTATGGAGAATAAAGCATATATTTCAGAAGTCTGTACAATTTGCACAACATGATATGGGTTTCATACTGGCCATCGACCATCAATGCATATCAATGATGGTGAACATCAGTCACTGCTCCACTGGTGGATGTAAAATTGGGACAGCAGAGCATATCGACCTTAGTTGATATGCACGGAAAGTGGATTGCCTGTTAGTACTTCTACTGCTACTGATACCAACTCTACGACCATTTCCCATTTCTTATGCATATTTAAGTTTTAAAGTCTATTATTAGCCCTGCAGTTTTCAAATAAACAATTAACAAAATTCATTTTGAGTAGAGTCAGTAACTCCTTTATATGTTCCAAATTGTGTTAGTAACCGAGCAGACACCTACAGAGCTTTCATAAACATGACAAGATTGGTTGCTTGCAGATCGGTAGGGCATTAAAGAAGTTGTTTGAGGATGGAGTGGTAAAGCGTGAAGAAATGTGGATCACATCCAAACTCTGGTATGTTTCACCTTTTGATATTTCACTGTGAGGATCAGAAAGTAAGCTATAATAAATTGACTATGGAACACCAGAGTCAGTTGGATTCATGACCATCTGATGAAATGATGCATGGTGCTGGAAAGGTTGGCTAATGAATGGGACCCCAATTGTGGTTCCCACTCTCACTACATCTCTAATCATTTCATTCGATGATGATGATTCATTTGATTATATTGTACTTCCCTTTTTATATTATATCTCATAGTATAGTTTCCTTTTGAAGATAGGCATGTATAGTACTTACTATTGATTGTTTAGCTTTGGGCTCCTATGCTGCTGTTGACACAGACAAACTGTGGACATACAGGTGCAGTGACCACGCACCTGAGGATGTACCATTGGCACTGGATCAAACTTTACAGGACCTGCAACTAGATTATGTAGATCTGTATCTTGTATGGATTCTTTGATTTTCCACTCTTAGTGTGCTTTTTATTATAATTTTCACTTTCCCTTTTATTATTATCATCAACATATTCAGTTTTTTATTTGCTTTTCTTTGCTTTTCTTGTTGCTGTAAAGATGATGTTTACAACGAGTACAGTTTAAGTGATTAATGCTGAAAGTTCACCAGTGTTTCAATATTCAGTTATGATGTAAATTTCGTTTTAGGGTGTGGTGATATAGGCTTGGCTGCATGAACTTGGAGTATACAGTGACGAATTGATGATCACGGAGAAGTGTTTGTGACCCTCAGTATGATATATTGTGCACTACACTACTGGGGTTTAAATTCTTTGTTCGGTTGAGGATAGGGCTTAGTGTCTGGGCTTTACCACACACCCACACCCCTCACCCACACCCACACCCACACCCACACCCACACCCACATCCACACCCACACCCACACCCACACCCACACCCACACCCACATCCATACCCACACTACACACACGCACTCACCCTGACACACACGCAAAAACTCAGAAACACGCACATATATGAAAATTGGAACTATTTCGTAATTGCCAGGGTACATCTAAGGCTTTGGAAACAATGGCAATAAATTGTTTTATTGTTTGGGAATATGTAATCAATGCATTGTTTTGAGTTTTCGGTTTGAATATTGAATTTTGAATATGGTTAGGTCTATGGTTTTTGATGTTAGGGTTTGGTGCTTCAAACTATATTAAAATAAGTAAATTAACTTAATTCTAAATTTCCTTATCCTTGAAGATCCATTGGCCCTTTCGGTGCAAAAAAGGGAAACGTGGCTTCAACCCAAGTGACTTTGCTCCAGTAGATATCCCTAGTACTTGGAAGGCAATGGAAAGCGTGTATGATTCAGGAAAAGCTCGTGCCATTGGTGTTAGCAATTTTTCTTCCAAGAAGTTGGATGATTTGCTGAAGATAGCACGTGTCTCACCAGCTGTAAACCAAGTGGAATGCCACCCTTCCTGGCAACAAGCTAAGCTTCATGCCTTTTGCAATTCCAAAGGAGTTCACCTATCTGTAAGTTTGTTTGTTCTTGTCTTTCTAGTTCTGCATTATGATTTATTTGAAACAAAAGAAAATGGAAAATTTTCCTTGGAGGACTTGGAACAAATGATATTTAAAAACATTTAAAATGGGAAGGTTTATACTGTACACTAGAGGACTGTGTAAAACTAGAGACCAAATTGGGGTTATCAGCATCCAATGAAATGATGGATGTTGATGGAGAAACAGAATGACCCAACAGTGGTTCCTCCTCTCCATCTTCTTCCATCATTTCAGTGGATGGTGATGACACCAATGCACTCTGGTTTTCAAAGCCCGTGTATTGTGATGTACTTTTCCTTTATTTTTTTATGGTGTAAATGGGTTTTCATATGGATACTTATTTTTATTTTTATTTTTGAATCTGTTACTCCTCAGGCTAATTCCTAAAACCAAGGTCCTCTCTGACTAATCCCTAAAACCAAGGTCCTAGAAATGTTCCATACCTTGCATGATACTAACATGTATACGATATCACTCTAATGGTTACTCATTTTCATGACTGGTTTTTTTTTCTTTTTTCTTTTTTTTTCTCTTTGTGCAGGCTTATTCTCCTTTGGGATCTCCAGGTTCAAAATGGTTGAAGAGTGATGTTCTAAAGAATCCAGTTCTTAATACTGTTGCAGAGAAACTTAACAAGACTCCTGCACAAGTTGCACTTCGTTGGGGACTTCAAAGTGGTCATAGCGTGCTTCCTAAGAGCACTACTGAAGAAAGGATAAAGGAAAATTTCAATATATTCGATTGGTCTATCCCAGATGATTTATTCTGCAAATTCTCTGAAATTGAACAGGTGAGTAACCATTTTCATTATAAATATAAAACTTTGGAACTATACTTACATTTTCATTTTAAATATAAAACCATTTCTCATTGTTTTAGTGGGAAATCAGAGAGATTTTTTTTTCAAGTGTTTGTGAGAGACGTTTCTTTTAATGATAACTTGAACTCACCTCTTCTTCATTGCCTGGCACTTGTTTCATGAAATTTCAGGGGCGGTTGATACGTGGAAATTTTCTTGTCCATGAAACTCTCAGTCCCTACAAAAGTGTGGAAGAACTGTGGGATGGAGAAATTTAAAGATGGTTGCGTGGTCCCTGCATGAACTTTCTCAAGTTTGTTGCCTCGTTTCTTGAAATCATGGCACTCATAATTTCATATGCAGCTTTTGGCCTCATTTCTCTTGCCATAGGCACATAGGGGTACTAGTATTTTAGGGGTACTACCATTTTCTTCTTGTCATATTTGTCCAAGGTTTATCAAAAGGATTCCATAGGAGACTCCTTAAAAGTTGAATCTGATATTCATGTTATCAGTTTGTTTTTGTTTATATGCCATGGTTTGTAAAATTTTTGGATTTTTTGTTAAAAGATATCTGCTAATTTAAAGTTCTTTGAGATCATAATGGAGACTAAATTGGGATTGTCGACAAAGATACCATTTACCTTCTGTCCATGGAGGTCACAACTGTTCTCATTCATTAGATGTCAAATTGGATGGCTTTGGGTGAGTTACGGAGTCTGAAATTTTTTTTTGGAATTTCGTGTCTATTCAATGACACAATTACAACCACTCATTTTGAAATTTAAAAGACAAAACTGGTTGTGATCAAAAGGTAAATGGTCTCGTTTAAATATGGGTTAAGATTGGCCAAATTTTGGTTGAATTTTACTGAAACACAGCCAAAGTTCAACACTCCACAATAGAAGTTGACAAAATTCGTACATGGAGTTGTAGTTCTAATTTGTTTGAGGTAATCTTTGAGGGCTATGGATTATTCAAACTATGTGGAGATACAGCCTCAACTGTCTCATATTATGCAATGCATGCCTATTTCAGATGTGTAGACCCTCTAGAGATGCTGGTATGTACAGTATTTTTTTTTTTGGTAGTTGAACTTGTACAGGCCAAAAAATGTCTTCAAAGTATATGAGCAAAAGTTTTAGTGCCATCGATATTACTGATTTGGAGGGGGGATGATGAATGGCGTACCAAAATCATCTAATCTTGGTTATAAGATCAATGAAGATCAAAGCTGTTGTAGAAGCAAATCCCATCCCAACTGGGCAATCAAAGCTGGCAATTCCAAGTTGGAGCCGCAAAAATCATCATTATCATCATATCATCATCTAAATCTTATCTCAATTATTTGGAGCCACAAGAATACCCATCTTGCCATTGCTACACCTTAACCTGCATTTCAATACACTAGATCAAGTGAATTCGTATCATATTAAGAGCACCAAATCAATTTTTTCTAAGGGCGGAAGTATCCAAGTTGAAGCTCAATTTTTTTTTTTTTTTTTAAAAGAGAGTGAATCGATTTGCAAGGTCTAAATGTAGTTTTCTGGTACGCAATCCATTAAAAGTTAGATTTTTGGTTGGAGGGCTTGGGGCCTTTGCATGAAGGGGATGGACATGCGCTAACACTACCCATACATAGATTTAAGGGAAATTTACCCCATTTTCCATATCAATGAACAATTTAGCACTTTACCCGTATCTTTTGATTTTCATATCAAAATACCCATAAAATACACATGGTTTTGAGTTGCAATAGTTGTAAATACGCAAAATGTTAGATAGTCTACATCTCATAGGTATTTTGATTAATTTTTTAAAATTTAATATTTTTGGATGGATTATGTTAGGGCGCTCGTACTATGGAATAATTTATCATTGTACTCAATAAATTTTAAATACTTTTATACCATTGTTTTGTATATGAAGTATTTTTTTTAATAAATGTATTTTTGAACATTAAGAGGATCACTTATTTATATATTATATAAATGATAATACTATTTGGATTGGGTCCACTATGACCTGAATAGTGATTGGGTCCAGTATTTGGACCCAGACCCGGGTCATTGTTGTTTCCCAGTTGATTACCACAACTATTGTTAACGCTCTTGGCTGAAATTTAAGTCATTATTAGTGAAGCAAGGATTCAAGTTTCTCACTATTGGGATGCTATTGAGGAGCTAGATGCTTTATCTAAGAGCGGTTCTCTGGCCATTTTGTTACTCAGCGTCTTTTATTTCTTTTGTCTTGTAATGATGTTCAATTATTTGTACGAGTGCAATTAAGTTTCAAATAAAAAAAAGTTATATTAGGGTGCTCACACTATGAAGTAATTTGTCATTGTACTCAACAAATTTGAACACTTTTATACTCTTGTTTTGTTCATAAAGTTGTTTTTAATAACGATATTTTTGGTCAATATGAGAGGAGTGAAATCACCAACATGGAGCACAACAGTGGTATTTAATGCTCCATGCGGGTATTGTCATGCCCCATATAAATGAGTCACACCCCTTTTATTGACCAAAAATACCCTTACTAAAAAAAAACCTCAATAAACCAAACAAAAGTACACATGTGTTCAAATTTGTAGAGTACAATGATAAATTACTTAACAGTGTGAGCACCTAACATAACCCAATAAATAATGTTTCAATAAATACAACTATATATTTTAGTTATAATATTAAAAAAATTACAAAAAAAAAACCATGCAACTTACCCCAACCTAATTTATTCTCTCACTTTTTTCCCAAAAACCGTAATTTCTTTTTTGAAAATACCTAAACTACCCGCCCTTTAACTATACCCTCCTATTGACCTAATTTTTTAACAGCATTTTCCCTCTCTCTCTCTCTCACTTTTTTAACCTCAGTTTCCCTCTCTCTCTCGCTCTAACTCCCGGCTTGAACTTCCTCCCTCTCTCTCGCTCTCTCTCCTGGCCTGACCTCCTTCCCTCTCTCTCGCTCTATTTCTCAGCTCGAGCTCTCTCCCTCTCCCTCTCCTTCTCCTTCTCCCTCTTCCCCCACCTTCTCCCTCTCTCTCTGTGAAACAATTAGGCCTATCAATTTCTTCGCCCCAGCCCGAGCTTGAATTTTAGCCCAATCTCTCAGCCCCATATCAGGCCCATTAAAGGTATGAAAAAGTTTTCTAACTATTTCTTATTACATAAATATATTACAGATTTATGGAAGAAAATCGCTAAAATTTGTTGTAGGGTTATTGTTTGTTTAAATTTGTTGTACTTGATCTATCATTGATAATGAAGGGATAGATTGCTCATGGCTTAAGAATTATTGAAGTTTTTTTAATGAATTTGTTATGGAGGTTGGCTTTTTTTTCTCTATTGTCATTTTAGGGCTAGAATGTTTTAGGAAAATTTGGGTGTTTTATAGATTGAAAATCATTCAATTGTTTGATGTAAATTGATTGCTCATGGCCTAAGAATTATTGAAATTTTTCTTTTAAATTTGTTATGGGGTTTGATTTTTTTTCTCTATTGTCTATTACCATATTAGGGTTAGAATGTTCTTGGTGGTAGGAAATTTTTGGTTTTTTTTTAGATTGAAAATCATTCAGTCACTTGATCTCAATTGATTGCTCGTGGCTTAAGAATTATTATAGTGTTTCTTATTAAATTGCTATGGAGTTTGTCATTTTTTCTCTATTGTGATTTTAGGGCTTCAATGTTATTGGTTGTAGTAATTTTTGGGTTTGTTTTGCTGTACATGTTTTCTCTTGGTTATCTTTGCATTAATTGTCTCTGTTTCTTATTTGATGATCCATCCTCTTATTCAAATTTAGTTTGTTATTAAGAAAAAAAGGCCTAGCTCTTGTTAATTTCAATAGTAGCTCTTAAAAAAAAAAAAAAACCCAAAAGGCAGACTTTAAGATGATCTATATTGCTAGTTGTATATATTGTGCTTATCTATATTTTTTGATTGAACTATAGCTTAGAGAAATGGTATTTGCTTATACTAGAAATTTAGGATGAGGATTTTCTCTAATTTGAAATGCATTAGAATTTACGTCTACAAAGTCATTTAGTTTTGTTTTATTTCACAAAAGAAAGGCATTATGCTAATTTAACTTGAATATGAACTAGTTTTTACTTTGTAGAAATATTGAATTGCATGTTCATCTTAAAAGTTGGGTCGTCTTTTGAGATTCTTTATTTCAAGACTATTTCCCATAATTTACTAAAAAATCCAGACGTTAACAGGGTAAAATCGTTAAGATTGCAGTATTCAGATAATCATTGTTAGAAATGTTTTTGGAGGTTATACCCCCCAACAATATGCCTACTTACCTTTTGTTAAAATTTAGTTGCAGCTCTTTAAAAAGGTATAGATTGAGCCTACCAAACTTGGGCAAGTTCAATGTGTAGAGTGTAAATTTTTACAAATCTTGTGTAAGACAAAAGAAAATGAGTGATAACATATTGATTTTTGTATTTTTGATGGAGCACTCCAATCAAATGTCTATGAAACTTTAGATTATATCGGTGGTGATGCATGTACATTTATGATTGATAGTAGAACTAGGTTAGATGACCTACGAAAATACGTAGCAGTGCGTTTCTCACTAGACATGTACTTGATATCATTGAGGTATTTTGTCTCAAGAAATAGAAGATTTATTGTGAATCTATTTATTGGCGATGATATTGAGAGGATGTTGAATGCACATGAATGCAAGAATAGTGTGTTCGTCTATGTATTTGATGGGAGTGAATAAAGATGTGGAAGTACTTCATGTAATACTAGGGCAATTGAATAAATCAAGACCCCCCCAATATTCATTTGCTTTGGTCTCTGGTTCCGAACAAAGCAATGCACAAAGGTTGCTTAGTTCAGAGGATGCACTTATCGGTATAAGGAAGCAATTTGAATCTCTAGATGACTGTCGAGAAGCCCTTAGCAAGTTTGCTATAAACACACAATTTCACATACCGTCATATTAAAAATGAAGGGTATCGCATAAGGGCGAAATGCAAGAGTGATGGATGCAAATGGGAGATATATGCTTCGAAGTTTGGTAGGACGAATGTTTTTAGCATCAAAACATGGAAAATAGAACACTCGTGTAATATTGGGACAAGCAATGATGTAAAGAGAAGAGCGTCCCAAAAATTTGTTGCGTCATTAATCAAAGATAAATTAAGTGACACTGCGCATTATAAGGCTAAAGAAATCATGAATGATGATTTTCAAGATTATGGGTTAGAAATACCCTATTGCAAGGCTTGGCAAGGGAAAGAAACGACCATCAAAGACATACATGGTTTGCAAGATGAGGCATACAACCAGTTACTCACATATGTAAACCGTGTGATGGAGACGAATCCTGGTAGTTATGCGACAAAACAAGTATGACAAGATGGTAGATTCCGTATGACAAGATGGTAGATTCCGTCGAATGTTCTTAAGCTTTATGGGTCAATACATGACTTCAAAAGTGGATGTCGTCTACTTCTATTTCTTGATGGGACATCATTGAAAGCATGATTCCTTGGGATTCCACTTGCTGCCAACTTACTTGATGGGGAAGAACAAATGTTTCCCTTTGCATTCACTATTGTGGATGCTGAAAGTATCGAAAACTGGTTATTGTTTATGGAATCTCTAAAGATTGCTACTGAGACAGATCATAAAATCACTTTTTTGTTAAATAGACAACTTGGTCTAGTTGATACTGTCTGTCAAGTTTTTGAGAATGCCCATCATGCCTTCTGTGAGCATCATTTAGTGGAGAATTTCAAGAAGGAAGTAAAAGACATACCTAATGATATTAAGAAGGCAGTTGTAAACTACTTTATCGGAGCATGTAGAGCATACAAGCCACAAGAGTATTTTGAGAAGATGATTGAAATTAGATCAATTTCTGAGGACGCATTCAAGTAGTTCATTGAAGCATCGCCAGACCGTTGGGCCACATCACTTTCAGGGGTAAACGATATAACCAAGTAACAACTAATGTGGCAGGGTCATATAACAAGTGGATTCTAGAAACATGAGACATGACAATTCTCTATTGCGTTGACTTGATTAGAAGACAAATTATGAAACTAATGGCCACTCGCAGCTTGGAAGTTGAAACCTGGACTACTACACTTACCCCGCACGCTGAAACGAAATAAGAAAGATCATAAAGCAATCCCTTTCCGTTAGGGTCATTGTATTTAGTAGAGCAGTGTTTGAAGCATGGGTGATCACGTGAATTATAAGGTAAATAATTGCACGAGAATGTGAATGCCAGGGTTGACAAATAACAGGTTTGCCCTGTAAGCACACTTTTAAAAGCCTTCAATGGAAGAATAGTGATCATGTTGATTATTGTGAAGATTATTTCACAGTTGCAAAGTTTCGTGAAACATATTTCGAACCTATTGTGTCAGTTACCTTGATCGATCTATCTGGGCGTATGCGTGGACAGTTTCCTCCAGATAGAATAAGAGTACTTCCACTTTAGACAAGGTGACTCCCTGGCCGACTTAAAAAGAAGCGCATCTAATCGTAGGAAGTCCTAGTGCGATCTATGCACTGTAGTTGGTGCAAAGGAACTGGTCACAACAAGGCAACATGTAAAGCACCCACTTGAAGGCATATATTTGTACTTATCTTCTTCATTCTGTCTTTTTAAATTGTAGCACTCACTTTTGGGAAATTTTGTTAGTCATATATTAATGGTGTTTGTTTATGGTGTTTAATTGTGGGAAATTTTTTATTGGAGCACCCACTCTTGGGAAATTATGTCATTACATAAATTAATGGTGTTTGTTCCACTTGTGTTCATTTCATACTATTGGTACACATATATTTATGTTTGATTCTTTTGTCTCTTTTTAAATTGGATATGCCACTTTTCTCTCTCTTTCTTTATTGGATATGCTACTTGTGGTTATTTTTTTTATACCAATTATGAAAATAGAATTAGCACTACAAGACTCGAAACAACTAAGAGGCATAGGGGAGCCATCTACTTCATCGGGTCAAAGGCAAGAGGTATGATGGTCTATTTGTTTTAGTTAATGATTTACATGAATTAAGTATTTATCATGTTATTTACTATTATCATTTCTTATTAATTTTAATTTTAGAAGAGAATTATACTTTGTATCGATGAATCAACTCACACCCTAGCAAAATGGAAGCTCGATCAACGACATGTAGCTCTTATTCAAAAGACCGGATTGAGCCCATTGATGAATATTGGCGTCTTGCATGTCGATTACAATCTACTGAGGGCATTTGTAGGGAAATAGTGCAAGGCCACAAATACTGCATGTCTAACCAATGGTGAAATGGCTCCATCCCTATACGATGTGTGACAGATATTAAGGATACTTGTGACAAGCAAGCTTGTAATCAGCATCAGGCCTGAAAACTATGTTGCATTTGTCAATGAGTATCTAGGAGATTGTCCTAAAGACGTCACCCCGATTCGTATCAATTATACATGGTTGAGGAAGAGATTTGAACAACTATAAAAAAAAGCCCACCAAATTATAACTCACGCAATACACACCTTTATTTAGTTGGCACAACTATATTCGTCGACTCATCTAAAGGATCGACATTTTCAATATACCTGCAATTGTTTTGAGATTTCGATGAGACAGGGAAGTATGCATGGGGTGCTGCAATTTTTGTAACATTCCTTATCTAACGTCGCAGACGGGAAAAAAAATCATTTTAGTGGGTCAGTGACCTTACTACAGGTATTTCTCAATATCTTTATAGTTTATATTTACAAAATTACAATTTCTTTGGTATCTTACTTTTTGCTTTTTCTACAGTGCTGGATCTATGAGCATTTTCGAGTTATAGCCACCAAGCCTACATTGGTCATCAACCCAGGAATGCCTAGAACTTGCATGTAGAAGAACAACCACGCGACAAAGATATATCATTTGATAACATCTCGTTTGATATGGTTAGTGGTTGGCTTGTGTACTTATATTCTAGTAGATAATCAACTTAGGAATGCCTTGGCTTGTTGGCTTGTGTGCTTATTTAATGTGTTATGTTGTTTTTGTAGGTGACCTGGCAACCATATGAGGAGTCATCACATGAAATTGTAGAGTACTTCATGTGCCGATCATACCTCATAAGTTTTAACATTACAAAGTACTATATGCCTGATCACGTGCTGCGATAATTTGGGAAGGTACAAGGGATTCCTATTACACCACCCAAGTGTGATAAGAGAGAGAAGGTCGGTATACACCCAACAAAATGGACTGAAGAGTTGAGCATGCAGATAAAAAATTGAAAGCAACGAGAATGTAATGTGTCAAGGTAAATTTGGTGGTGTATCTATAGAAGATGGCCTGCTACAACATGTTCATACAAAGATTTATAAAAACCCCCATGTGCCCCATGTTGCAGACGCAATCCCATGTACAATCCTCGACAAGTCATGATGACGATAAGAGATTGCTATATAATTTATTATATGTATTTTGTTATTTTATTGTTTTAATATATTTTAAAATTATGAAAAATAAAACCAATAATCTATTTTCTTTTTTTATTGACTACTTGCAGCGGCATACTTGTATAGAGATGCTACAAGCTGCGCTTAATAGTGAAGTATTAGCCTGGGAATCCAGGCGTTATGTATAGGCCGCTCATGATCTATTATTGGGTAACACTTCTGTAGAGACAGGTGCTGAGGAGATAGCGTGGACTAGGGGTGGAGAAGTGGACAGTGAAAGTGAGAAGGATGATGATAGTGAAAGCGAAGAAGACCATGATGATGGAGAAGACGATGTTCAAAGCCACGATGATGGTGAGAGCAACGATGAAAATGAGAGAAGAACAAAGCAAAAAGGTGATCACTTTAAAACACCGACGTTGCAAGAGGAATCGAGTTGAAATTTGTGATCCCAAAGAGATGGGAAAGTCTGGGAGGGAATTTGTGATCCTTTTTTTTAGTTTGATATGTATGTTTGAAACAGATGTAAAGTAAAAAAAATGGTTGATATTGATTTGATGTTGAGTTTGATATGTATTTTTTTATATTAAAAGGGAAATGGTTCAAAGATAGTTGGATATGTATGTTCTTTGTCTTTCTTAATGATAATGGTATTTGGTTTCTCTCCCTAAACTGAAACTCTATTGCAAATTCTTTGTGATTACAAATATGAACATGTTTATAGTATGGAAACTGTCCAATACTCATACCAAGCGTAGCGCCTTTGTCCCATTTTCTAAGTAGCTGCTCATCTCTACCATTTTCAGATAAGTAAGGTAGATGGATACATTACACCAACCCGACATGAGTATAATATATGGTCCCTTTAAGATACACCTTGCATATTATAAGATTTTATTGTTTTTTGATTTTTCAAAATGCGGACCGGCAGTGCATGTTCTGGAAATATTGTCGCTCCGGTAGTTACAATGCTCACTTCAGCAGTACCACATCGCTCTGGCATTTTCAAAGAGTACTCCGGTAGTGGTCACTCCGACAGTTGCAAAGAGCGCTCCGATAGTAAAGGTTCTGTTAGCCACAACACTTTGGCAGTCTCTAAGCTTGATCCGGCAGTGCATGTTCTGGATGTACTGTTGCTCCGGCAGTTTCAAAGTTGGCTCTGGCAGTACCACATTGCTCCGACAGTTTGATAGCACGATCCGACAGTGGTCGCTCCGGCAGTTGCAAATAGCGCTCCGATAGAAAAGGTTATGTTAGTCACAATGCTCCGACAATTTCAAAGCACGATCTAGCAGTACATGTTCTGGAAGTATTGCCACTCCGACAGTTTCAATGCTCACTCCGATGGTACCACATCACTCCGACAGTTTGAAAGCACGGTCTAGCAGTGGTCGCTTCGGCAGTAAATGTTATGTTAGTCACAACGCTCCGGCAGTTTCAAAACGTGATCCGGCAATACATGTTCTGGAAGTACTGCTGCTTCGGCAGTTTCAATGCTTGTGCCGGCAGTACCCCATCGCTCTAACAGTTTGAACACACGGTCCGACAGTGGTAGCTCTAGCAGTTGCAAATAACGCTCCGGTAGAAAAAGGTTCAGTTAGTCACAACACTTCGGTAGTCTCTAAGCTCGATTTGGCAGTACATGTTCTGGATGTACTGCTGCTGCGGCAGTTTCAATGCTCACTCCAGTAGTACCACATCGCTTCGACACTCTGAAAGCACGGTCCGACAGTGGTTGCTCCGGCAGTTGCAGAGAGCGCGCCAACAGAATGTTAGTCACAACGCTCTAGCAATTTCAACTGCGGTCCGGCAGTACATGTCCTGCAAGTACTGCCGCTCCGGCAATTTCAATGCTCGCTCCAGCAGTACCACATCGCTCCGACATTTTCAAAGAGCGGTATGGCAGTGGTCGCTCTGGCAAAGAACGCTTCGACGATAAAAGTTCTGTTAGTCACAACGCTCTGACAATTTCAAAGCTCGATCTAGCAGTACATGTTCTAGATCTACTGCCGCTCTGGTAGTTTCAATGCTCGCTCCTGCAGTACCACATCGCTCTGGTAGTTTGAAAGCACGGTCCGACAGTGGTCGCTCCGGTAGTTACAAATAGGGTGGTTTTATTGCGCTCCGGCAGTTTCAAAGGTCCGTCCGGCAGTATTGACTTTCGGTCCGACAATGTGATGATTCGGTTCGGCAATGTGTTTCTGTGGTCCGACAGTCAACATGAAATTTAATGAAATTGATTAGTTTTGTATGGGAAGGGCATTTTCATAAAAATAAGAACTTTTTTGGTTGGGGGGTTATTTGCATAGAAAATATACTTTTGGGGAAAAAGTGAGAGAATAAGTTGGGTTGGGGGTAAGTTGCATAGTAAGTATAGTATTGGTTTGTTTTTTTTGTAATTTTCCTTATAATATTTAAATGATACATGTATATATTTAACATATTATTTAAATATATTGAAATATATATACATACTTTTTTGGGTCGAGTCCAATCGGGTTTGGGTTAAGTCCCGGACCAGGACCCAACCCAACCCGATTCGATCCGTTGCCACCCTCAGTTAACAACCTCCACTAAACTCCAACTCTACCGATACTCATTTGTAAAAAGGTACGGTTTGTATAAAGCCGAGGTTCTAAACAATTAACGTGAAGCGCACCTTTAAATAGTGTCGAGAAATGTGGTTTCAATGCTAGAAATCTTTGTGATAGCCTTAAAATATATTTTCATCTCTAATTATAAAACTTAAAGCTTCAAAAATAGTGTAGATCGAGCAGATCTATGAAAACTTGAAACTCTTGAAAATTGACGGTCATAAAATACAATACAAGATGCACTATTTTCAAAACTTGAAATCCATTTTTTTCTCATGTCCATGTATCTTGATTTGAGATGATCAATTTGAGTATATTTGGGTATCAAAACAACCTTTTTTTAGTGAATTTTTTGAGGTGCAGCCTAATTTGATTGTTTAGAGCCTCACACTTATATAAGCTTTTTTCATATTTAAATATATCAAGATATATTTATTTATTTATTTATTGATCGAGTCCAATCGGGTTTGGGTCGGGTCGGTCTGGGTCCGGATTCGGGACCCGGATCTGACATGAGCCTGCCCCTAGTTAACAACCTCCACTAACCAACTTCAATTTATGGCATTCAAAGAAGGGGTACGGTTTCTATAAGGTTGCAACCTTGAACAATCCAATTAAGGAGCACCTCTAAATTTTATCTTAACATATAATTTTGGTGTAAAAAATTATTTGGATTATCTGAAAATCTATTTTCATATCTAGTTATAAAATTTTAAACTCCAAAAATGGTTAAAATCAAGTAGATCTATAAACATATGAAAATCTTGAAAATGGACAATCTAGATAATGTGTTGCAAGATAAACAATTTTTGGGACTCAAAATAATTTTTATTTTATATTCATACATCTCGATATCGAGATGATCAATTAGAGGATTGAAAAACATTAAAATAACCTTTTCCGATGCATTTTTGAGGTGCACCTATAATGCTACATTTTAAGGTTGCAACAACTTTTTCCTTCAAGGAATCCCCCTCCACAAAGACAAAATCTCAATCCATGCAGAAGCATTTAACTTCAGCTTCATCTGCAGTAGCCACCCCTCTAAGATCCAAATAAGTCAAAAGAATTGCTACTCAAATCCACTTAGCCATCCTCTCCCGGCTAGCACCGCCTTGGCTAGTAGTCAGCACTTCCAAGTTTCTCGAAAGCAGAAAAGGGGGGATTTGTTCAAGTGAAACTAAATTTCTTCAAACCCCAAATCTCCTTTCAATGCAACTGAAACATCATCTGGCCATCAATTCGTATAAATTTCCATTAGTACCATTTCATATATGATTAAAAGTAAAATAACTAAAAAATATAGGATGGGTTTCTATAAGCGGCCGACTCATATGCACATGTGCGGACCCTCTCTAAAATTCACCTCAAAGATGACTATTTTCTCAAAAAATTTAGGGATTCATCTGCAAAGCCATGCTAATCATAAATATGAAAAAAAAAAAAAATTGATCTTTAAAGTTTGTTTTTCTTTGGTGATGTTTTTTGGCACCGTCCATATCTGATTTGACCCAATGCACTTTGCCTAGCGTACATCTTAAAAGTGGACGTTGAAGAGTCAGCGGGCCCTTGCACCCGCTAACTCATAGATATAAAATAGGTATGCTAGCAACTCGTAAACAACTTGGTGCTCCTCTAGGTCTAGGGATGGTCACATATCTCCCAACGCCCCTGTAGGGGTGGATGATGGGCATGCCATGAAGGTTTAGGATTCAATTTTGAGTGTACAGACGTTGCTCCGATTTTGTTCTTTTTGTCCATCTCTTATTTTACATTATTTTTTATATTAAAAAAAAAAAGATTATTTGAGTGATGAGTAGGAAAGTATAAAATGAGACCATTTATCTTTGGTATAAGATGGTAACAATAAATCTTGACCATTGGATGTGAAATTGAGTGGCCGCATTTATTTTATTGACCAAACTTAAAGTTCAAAAGATTTTTTTTCAAACTTTATGATACATCCAATCTATCAGATTTCACATCGGACGATTGTAAGTAATTGTGACATCCCTATTCCATAAGCAAATGGTCCCATCGTATGCATTCCCTATAATTTTAGTAGGGGCGCCGCTTCATAAAATTTAGTAAAGCTACTATTCAAACCCCCACTAGAAAATGCAGGTCTAGCATTAAAAACCTTTGAGATGGCTTACAAATTTATTCTGCCGTGACTGTAGAATTTGAAGTTTTGAAATAAGGACACACTTTATATAAGGTTGACACATTTAAATGTTGAATTAAGTTTAGAAATATGGACGAAGTTTATATAAGGTTGACACATTTATATAATGAGTATGCACAGTTTTAGGAAACCAACTGTGATTATCTTGATGCCAAATACAAGTCTTATTTCATAGTAAATTAAATCTTATCAGATATGGAAAATCTAATTAAAGTAGGAATGAGCAAAGATGGGTCACGTGCACAGTTAGGATATGAAGCCACGTGGTTATCTTGATGCCAAATATAAGTCCTATTTTGTCGTAAATTAAATATTATTTGATATGAAGATCTAATCAAAATGGAAATGAGCAAAGATGGGTCACGTACACATATGGATGCAATATCTATTTGGATGCTCATGATATTTAGCAAGGGTGTAAAAAATATAAAAAAAACAGCAGTGACATTCAGCTTGGAAGCTGAAGTTAGTCGATATCAATGGAAAAGTGACTGTATTCCAAACTAGTAGAGAGGGAAAAAGTAACAGTAGTGAATTTGGTTCATAAATGGCAAGTTGTGGACG